GCCGTAAGCGTTACAATACGTTACCTCCTCAAAATACACCACAGAAAAGCAATTTGTAACTATTTAAGCTTGTATTCTCTGAGTCTCAAACTAGTTTAATCTGTCTTTCACACTTTAGTGTATACAGTTATATAACTCATATACCAGCTGGTGAACTGAATCTCAGAAAGCGCTTTTGGAAGCAGCTTTACCCGTTAATTTTCACACAGTGACTCTAATCTGATTTCCCAGAATTATACTCATGAGGACCCTGTAGCTAGAAATCCAAACCCAAGGGCCTTTGTGTTGTTCCAAAACACTTTTAACGGGCTATCAGCAGAATTGAATAAAATAAAATAATCATAGTGTGCATTTGAGCTAACAGAAATATTATAGATAATAAGGCCATTAGAGTTATTAAATACTGTAGCCTGATGAGGACATATCTACAAACGAGCCTCACAGTCTGCAATAAGTTCCAATTTTGTCTGACTGTGGAAGTTGTTCTCTTCATTCACCTCACCTGTGTGGCTCACAGGGGGCTTTTGGGACCAGCAGATCAGGCTGAGGAGTGACAAATGTCTTCGCCACCTGAATTCAGGGAGTTTTGAGCCAGGACCTCAAGGTTAACACTCCTGCTCATAAAAAAGGAGTCGTGGGAATTTTACTAACCAGGTAGTCAGGACCTCACTTTAACATCTTGTTAAATCACAGTGTCCCCAGTCCCAATACTGGGCAAAGGTTTGGAAGTCCTTGACCAGAAGGAGGAATGCCCTACGGAACCACCTACACCAGTGACGCTGTGTTTCACCCCAGGACTGCCAAGGCCCAGACTTCGCTTCTGAGAGCTGACAACAGGCTACAAGGTGGTAACACTGCTGCTTAAAGATCCATAGTGCATATTAGTGCATTGTTCACTCAACAACATTTGGCAAAAAATTAAGTCAGAAGAGTATTTTCAGCCTGTGGTTACATGGCATGTTAATTTGCAACAGATGGCAATTTTTCTATTTGCAAAGATATTCTGTTTCACTTTTTTTGTGAGAAATGTGTCCAATACATCTGATTTCCTTCCATACTGTTAAAAATGAACCAAAACATAACAGATCTACAGATGAATAATCCTTCCCCAATAAAGTAAGATACAAATTCATCCCATCTCCTCATTCGTATGATAAAAAGATTATTACATTTTAAAGCAACCACATTCAAAATTATTTAGTGTTGCAATTACTGTTTATTGCCAGCTCATCTCAGAAGTCCAGCATTGCAATAAATCAAGAATTTTGTTCTGAGGAACAGCATTTGCAGATCTATGAAGCAACACAATTTTAATCAATACCTCTGATCATTCTTCATCACCGACTTAATGGCCAAAACATTATATTTTACTTTACTACATAAAACTACTCATTGACACCTACAGAGGTAATTACATTTATTGTACATGACGCACTCTTCCATCATTTTGGATAAAAAAATATAGATATTCAGCCTCGAGCTATGATTCAGGATAATACATTCAAAACACACAGCATCTGAATTAAATTAACTTTCTGACGAATCCAGCAGTTTTTGTGAGTGATAAGCCATAATGTCTTTTTAATGTTTACATAATTGCAAATTATGAGCCTCTACCGTATTTCTGTATGCATATTTTCTTGCGCATGATGATATTAGTTGGATGCTGGGAGACCTCTTTACGTCACGGGGCTTCCTGCATGTGTTACTATGTTACTGTAAGAGAGAGAAAATGTCCAGCAGCCGAAAGCTGGTCTGTGTGTGTGTGTGTGTGGGGGGTCTCTGTGTGTCTCTGTATGCCTGTGTGTGTCTGTGACTGTAGGTCTAACATCCCATCTGAAATGCAGCATGAGTCCTCCTGCAGCACAGTGTCTCCAGTCAACACACAGGAGAAGGTCTGGAAAATCTGGTCTGGAAGGAAGGGTGTCGCCTACTGGACCACCAACACCAGTTTCAAAATATTTGCTAGGACATATCCTATCTCTATAACTTCGGAAACTAGTTTTCGCATTTGAACAAGGAGGTGCCAGAGCTGTGTTCAGAGGTTGGGTGTTCAGACAGATACAATGTAAGGGCTGTCAGTGAGCTCAGGCACTCATTTAGCACAGAGTAAGACTGACATTTCTTGTTTAAAATGTGGAGATTCTGCCTATAGCTAACATTCAAATGTACAGTATCTCTGTGGCTTTTATTCATGAGAAATGGAACAAATGAATCCGCAGTCTTTCTTTGAGTAATTCGTACAATCGGCGCAGCAGTGACCATGGAGAGTTGATCAGACTCCTTAAAGACAAAGATTGAAGTATAAGAAGTACAGTATCACAGGTCAGCTCCATTTTTCAGTTGTTACATTGTAACATTTGTTTTTTGGAATTTAATCCAATCCTCAATTTGACCCTTCGAGCACAAAGGAAACCTGACTGCTGATCTATGACAGCAAGTGTCACATGAGTAAGTGACATTCATAAAGCCATACTGAAACAAGCATTTCCAGATTTCTAAACACACCTGCAGAGCTAAACCAATCAGTGTCTTGAAGGTGATAATTACGGACCAAGGAATTCTCATAGTCTGTTTAACAGTTTCTTGATTTGTTACGGTGTTATTATAACATTGAAAATACGATTTTCATTAACATCTGCCATGTGCCAAGAAAAGAAAGAAGGGTTAATAAACTGTGACATATTTACTCAGGAAAGGTTAAAGGTTTTTCAGTCAAACACCTCAATAATAAATGTTCTCATTGTTAACTACTTTTTATTTTAGCATGCAGAGTGGATTCCCCGTAGTCTCATTAAAATGCAACGCATTACTTACTTTGCACTGATAATTATGTAGGATACAATGCTTGCACTCCGTAACCTAAATTTGTTCTAAAAATATCCATCAAGAATTGTCTCCATGTAGCGTTTTATTATTTCAGCTTGATTTGGTTTAAAAATGAATGTTGAAGCTTCTGTATGAGGTCAGACATCTTTCAATCGTCACAAATAAACAAACTGTTTACAGGACGTCCGATTGTCATTAGGGTTTGTGGATCCAGGCTACAGTTTTCTCCTGCTGTTATTGGTAAATGGTCAATAAAGACTAAGCTTCTGCCTGGCTAAACAGTTTCTAATGCACTACGAAGACAACCAGGGGAATTCTGCAGTCATTACCACCACTTCCCTGCAATTATCTAGGACTGCAGCCATTTCAACGATTATTAAAGATGTTAGCTACTTTTACTAAAGCCTGACCATTTAAGAGACTTAAGTGAATTACTGTGTTGAGTATTGAAGTAGAATAATAATCTTTTTAAAGCTGACTAAATCATTCATCAAATGGCACCAAAATACCCTTGACTGCTAAAAGCCATTTATGCTGAGCCTGCAACTTGCTTGTGTGACTGGAAGGCAGGACATGTACTGCATGTCAGGACAGAGGCTCCAGAGTGGCTCAGCAGCCTGTTAACACACTCAACCCAAAGCTGCGGGTTCGAGTCTGGGTGATGTCCATATCCACATGTGACCTGGCTGAGCACCACCATCCCTCAGCCTGCCTGAGGGGAGGGTGGGATTTGCCAGCAAGGACTCCCTCACTCCTGGCAAAGCCCTGGGACTCCTCAGGCACCTGGAGGCCTGAGGCCTCTCTTCCAGGTGGCGCTGAATCTTCTGCACAGGGCAGCAGATGGCAAGGGCTTCAAAGAGCAGGCGGGTCAGAGAAGTCAGGTGACTGTTCCCCACTCTCCCATGTGGGCTTGTCGTTGTGAGCCGTCGGACTGAAACACTCGAGTGATTCCAGACTGAGTGGGTTTGGAAGAAAATAAAAATAAGTGGAACACATTCTAATTAAGCTAAGCAATTCCAGGCCATGTTAACTTGTATTAAAGTTACACTTGCGACTCACTGCAGGAGGTGTTCCTGTAAAGGCCATTTCTAAGACATGGATATTGCAGAATCCATTTCTAATTGAAAATATTAGGAGAAACTAACCAGGCGGCAGTGCAAAATATATTTCTAACTCATGAAAAACAAAAGGTTTCAGCCAGTTCCAGGCTTTTCCACCAA